AGGGGGGGCATTCCTGAGGTAATTTGGAACATAAATTTTAATATACTAATGGTATCCAACTCATAATTAAAGAGGTACAGTAATTTGAAAACTAGCGAAAAATCTTTTTTTTCTTCGAATTTCAGTCAAAACAAATTGAAAATACAATACAAACACTTTTTGAATCGTTAATGTTTTAGGAAAGAAGCATTCTAAAACCAAATATTTTTTTCAATTTCTTAATTTTGCATTGTGCAACATTTTTCATCAATTTCGTGTTATAGAATTACATTATTTTCAGCATCCCATTCTGTAAACATACCAATGGTTGCATATCACACCGTTTATCAATCTGTTTCCTTTAAACTGTAGTGTTTTAGAAGACGACTGGATTTACATAAGATTTTCAAAAATGTCTCCCTGCACGTCGACACAATGCGTCGCACGCGTACGAACCGCGCTTGTAGCATTTCGCAGTTCCACACGTTTGTTCCTTATTGTCATCGCCGCGTCCAGAATACGTTCAAGCAATGCTTCACGTATTTGTACCATTACCTGGTACACAATGTCCTTCATTCAACCCCAAATGCAATAATCTAACGGCGTTTGATCTGGCGACCTCGGAGGTCAGGCGTTACGGCCTCCGTGACCAATCCACCGCTGTGGGTAATGCCGATCCAAGTGAGCTGCTACTGCGCGGGAGAAGTGAGGAGGCGCCCCATCATACTGAAAGTACATCCGGCGTCTTTTTGCCAGAGGAACGTCTTCAAGTAATTGTGGTAATTCTTCTAAGAAGTGGAGGTAAATCTCACCAGTTAGGCCAGGAAAAATGAATGGCCCGATTAGCTGATCATACAACCACACCAGACATTGACATTGAATCGGTGTTGAAAATTCGATTCTATCGTGGCACGGGGATTGTTGTCTGCCCAAACATGTAAGTTGTGACTGTTGTTGACCCTGTCCCGTGTAAACTGTGCCTCATCACAGAACATTATCAAGCGGTACAACTGCCGATTTCCATTTAACCAGTTGCAGAACTGCAGACGAAGAGCACGGTCTCCTGGTTGTAGGGGTTGTACTTGCTGTAAATGATAAGGGTGCAGCCCGTTCTCTTGAAGAGTTCTCCACGCCATGAACTGAGAAACACCGAACCGCCGAGCTAGACGTCTTGTACTGGCACACTCACTGCGCTCTACGGCATCGGGAATGTTTTCTTATTCGCACAGTTCATGTTGAGGACTTCGTTCGTATTGTATACGAACGCTGGGGAGAGAACCAGTTTGTCTTAATGTGTTGAATGTACTGCTAATGGATTTAGGATTCGGAATCCTGCAATTAGGATAACGCCGGTGATATTCGGCAGCAGCGGCTCTCGCATTTCCATCACATACACCCAAACACCATATCGGCGTATTCCTCAGTGGAAAATGTGTACGGCATCTTAACTTCACAAAGTCACCAACACAACGTCCTGTTTACGACTGGAACGCTGTGCCTACCTACGTGCAACATTCCAGCCGGTCTGCCTTACCTGCTGACACAGCTGACTGGAACGCAAGGTCGCCCAGGCGGGAAGCATAGCGCTGCATTCACAGTGATGCATTTCGAAAATCTATTGTTATTCCGTAACTATTGAAAATCGAACACAAGTTTATAAGGAAATTTGCAGGAAATGACCTCAGGAATATGTACCATAAGCCGGGGTAAAACTTCGTGAATCACCCTGTATAAACCTACATATTTTCCTTTGATAAGATACGGACCGTATATAAAATGATGCGTCCAACAATTCTTCTATTGTTACATGAGTGTTGGTTGCCGCGGGAACGTGTTTACCGAGCCGTTGCCTAGCAATGATAGGGAGAATGAACATGCAGACACAGACTTATGTGAGGGATTTATGGAGCACGCCATAGGGATGGGCTCAAGTTCCATGATATACGTACCAAATATCCTAAAGAACGATTCAGGCATTCAAGAGTTGATGTAAAGGACACAGAGACACACAGACAGTATGGAGATTGCATAAGCCTATATTAATTTTTAATAAGGAAGTCAGGCTTTAAAAAGGAGTGCTGTGCTGTGTTGTGTTGTGGGATTAAAGCCGTGTAGTCCGGTTTTGGTCCGGCGACATTTTGGAGGAACGCACTGCGTCCATCTTCAGGATCGAAAATTAAGCCAAGGAAGAGACCAGAAAGAAAAAGAAAAGAGGGTCTGCATGTCGTAATTTCAGTACATCCAATGGAGCAAGCCGACACTTCTCCCGCACACCACGCATGGAACTTTATTCTTTCCAAGGCATCTGCTTTATGTCATCTGAACTTGAGAATCCTAACCACCACATCCACCGTCTTATCTCCTCCCGGCTGTAACACACCATTTGCATCTCCCCCCACCCCCTCCGACTCCAAAACTTCGTATCGAATTAAGGAAATGTCTCTGAATGCGTGCAGATTCAAGGCCGGCTCGATAACACTAGCGCACCAAGCGGCAGCAGCGCGAATGTAGGGAGCGGCGTATGTTACAAATTTTTCTTTAAACATTAAAATTAATTTTTGTCGATCTTTTGCCCATGTACTTTGTCCAGAACATCTCTGAGGGTACGTCACATCCGGAGTAGCCAACCTTATGAATGAAACTGCTTTGAGTTCAACGAGGTTCCCGGTCCGCTTATTTTTTTATTCACATAAAAAAAACTTAGTGGCTTTAGTCCGGAAGCGAATTATACCGACCGAGCGACCGCCGCTTGTCGGCGGAGTTAGTGCCAACTTTAGCGGACAGAGGGTATCGCGTGGTCAGCGCAACGAATCCCCACGACCGTGAAATTTTAGGTTTTCTAGACTGGAGTCGCTACTTTTCCATTCAGGTAGCTGCTGAGTAATCCCCACGAGGCTGAATGGACTCCGTTCCAGACCCACTATTTCTCAGAAATTCTGGTAGCGCCGGGAATCGAACACGGGACCTCTATATCTATAGCCAGGAACTCTGAACTCTAGACTGCAGAGGCGGTCTATTTTTATTTCCATCGTAAGATGAAAATAGAATGTAGTAGCTTTCTAACAACACAAATGTTTTAGACACATAATATCTTGTACATTAATTAATAAGAATGCTGACCTAAGCGGTGACATTGGAAACTTGTGTTCGGGAGGTACTCGCTTCAAATCTTGAGTGGGACACCAGACATCTTGATCGAGATTCTCACTGTTTTATCAGCTCTTCCAGGCAATTGCCTGCATACGAATACTGCTTTCTTCTTGTTCTTCTTTCCTCTGACATGCAACATTTCGAAGCTTTATCTATCTATATGGCTCTACAGCCCGTTGTTGGACGTTAGCCGCTTTTCAGTTTCTTGATCGTTTACACAGTCGGTAGTACTCCTTGGACGGGGGATCAGCCCGTCGCAAGGCCTCTACCTGCACACACAGGATAGCACAAACACAGAATAAACTCACACAAACATCCATGCCTCAAGTGGGATTCGAGCCCACGACCCCAGTGTTTGAGCGGACTAAGACAGTTCATTCGGCTCGAAGCTGTATACCGTCATAAAATATCCCTCCCACGAAATACCATTAATTTATAAAAGTCTAAATATGTTATAAACAGTGTAAATAAATTGTTTTAAGAATTACTTCACAAATTAAGGGCGTTTTGCTTTGTCGATTGTGAGAAAGTTTTCGAAGGGTGCCTTGTTTTCGCCTGCCGGTGGAAGGGGGACAGTGTTTTGTCTTATTTCGCGGCATTTAGATTTGTCCGGTCCTGCTCACCTTATGCCCTTGAATATCTTACCTTACCTTAATTATACAAGACACCAAAGGCGACAGATACAGATGTTGTAGACCCTCTACAGATGATTCTTCTGTGATATACAGGGTGTTTCACGACTTTAGAGCATAACTGCAGGAGGTGATTTCCTAGGCCTTTGTGATCAAAAAAGTTCGTATAAACATGTGTCCGATTTTGGACGGTTACGGAGTTATAACCGTTTTAAACTTCGTGAAATTACCTTTAATATGAATTTATTGGTGCTTAAGCTGATTTTCGAAAATGCCACCGCCGGCCGCAACACAGGCTGCCGCTCGGTTGTGAACCGCGCGGGTACATACTAACCCACCACGCCTTAGGTACCTCTCAAGTGTCGAGATAACGAGAACGCTCTGTCTGTAGCTGGCTAAAAATAGCGACCCGTCAGATGGTAGACGCGGGTCACACGAGGAGGTGTACGGGAATGAAAAAACGGTCATAACTCCGTAACCGTCCAAAATCTGACATACGTTTATATGAACTTTTTTGATCACAGAGGCCTAGGAAATCACCTCCTGCATGTTATGTTGGCAACTCTCAAATACTGAAATATAATGTTAGAGTTGACAACATCATAGTAAACAATTTAAAAACTAGGTTATGTCTTGTTACCTAAGTTATGTTTACTGTTTACTAGGTTTACTATGACCTAAAGTCTGAAACACCCTGTATAGCAATCCTAGGTAGTCTGTAGGCCCTGCACAGAAGTTGTAGACCCTCTACAGCAGTGCTTCTCAACCGCAGGGCCGGGGCCAGTAGTGGACCCTGGCATCAATTATACCTGGCCGCTAGAGGCTCTTCTGGAATTTGTCATTTTCATTTTCTAAGCATTTTTCATGAATAAATATTTTATAGTTAGCTTAATTAATGAATTTTAACAAAACTGGAAAGGTATTTACGAGTAAATTTGTTGGGACTGGGCCCTCGTCTTATAAAGAAAGAACTTACTGGGCCGCGGTCTCATAAACGTCGAGAACCACTGCTCTACAGATCCTTCCTCCTTGATAGATAGCAATTCTAGATATTCCGTAGGCCCTATACAGATGTTGTAGCCCCTCTACAGATGCTTCTTCCGTGATAGATAGCGATCTAGAAAGTTAATTACCGCAGCAATTTAAAGTATTTAGTAGCATCGCTAAAGGTAGTGTTCTAAAGCGTCTCTTCATACCGTTGTATGCTTATGATTATTGTTGCATATCCTCAGTACTTACATGAAAGTGCAGTAAATACGTCGTACCGTCCCACACGCGAAATGAAATCTCGACACAGGCTCCAGACGCGAACTTGAAAGTCCACACGAGTTGGCTGTCGGTGAATGTGTCTTGCACGTTCACTGACTGTGAGCGACGCCGCGACGCTGGGAGCGCATGCGAACCACTCGTCGCCGCAAGGCTAAAAGGGAAGGGAGAGAGCAATTCGAACCCCATTATGTGACCACAGAGCCATGATGGCCATGATATTCATATACGAAGCCTGCTGGCGAATTAACCATTATTTGCAATACTTTGATTAGAAAAAGAAAAAAGAAAACTCATTTTGATAATGAATTTTCATTGTAAACTTTACTGAAAATTTAATGTCAGCTCTGTAGATATTGTGGCAAATGTTCCTCCCATTGATGTTCATAAGCATGAAGAAACGTAGCATGAAAGGCTAGTTAGTGATTTAAAGCGGCCGGTCACAGTAGCCGCGCGGTGTAAGGCCTGAACTGTCTTCGCTCGCTTGAAGTCTGGGACCGTCGGTTCGAATCCCACTCAAGGCATGGGTCTCTGTGTATGCATTTATTCTGTGTTTGGGTAAAGACCTTGAAACGGACTAATCAGTTGGCCAAGGAGACCTACGGTCTCTGAAAAATGATTAAGGAACTGAATAAGAGGCCAGGGCCCTGAATGGGCTGGAAGAACCATTGAAAAATCTTCACTTAATTGAAAGCGAGTTAACACAATTTAAAACAATCTCCAGTCAGTCCGAGTAGAGTCCGAGTTTAGAGTCAGTCGAGAGAGAGTCTGCAGGCAGAGTAAGCTGAGAGTTTCTGTAGCTGAGGCCGAGAACATTTGGGCAATACAGAGGAAATGGAACGTCCGCCTTTGGAAGCCGCCACTAGAAGACTGGTGAAGACCGTGACAGAGAACACTAGCCTGTGTGTGAGACAGAGATTTGTGAAGCGTAGTCACGAGCTGTTCAACAGCCCACAGTTCACGCAGAACATTAAAATATTAAAAACTCCACACGTATGAGGCTTTACAACCACAGAACTGGCACAAATCAAGGTCTCATACGTGTTGAGTTTTTATGTTTCGCCTTAGCTCTCGTAGACGGTTTGTGTTATGCTTGTATTGTATCGCCTGTCTTGTGTTGGTGCAGTTGTCCGGAGATAGGGACTAGCTCTATGGGTCAAATTGAATAGGGTTTAATTGAAGACGGAAGTAGAATCCAGACTCCGAAGCGTTGTGTTTTAAGTAAAAGAGGACGGCGTTTTAGATAAATACAGAACGACGGATAATATCCAGAAACGTAATATTTGTATTAATATACTATCGTCACAAACTTTTAGATTTTGTCGAAAATAAGGTTTGTCAGTTTTATACGTAGAATAGCAGTTTCCAGACGTTCTCGATTTTCATACTATTGTTATAAAACACACACACCTCAAACTAGCCTCTGCAAATACGTGCTGTAGCCATGCACATGTCTCGCATCTTTAGTAAAAATAGTCTACAGCCTTTGAAACGTGATGTTTTTAATAATGGTAATTAATGTCAAACCATTCCCACTGTCTACTCTCGTCATTAATGACCTGAACTTTACAAGATGGCCCTACACTTTTGTCAGTGAATCATCTTACACAAAGAAATATGCTAAAAACATTAAAAGCTGAAGTACCATTTTGCATGTGTTCCGAGTTTCGCGCTACAAGCCTCGGTAACCTACAGGTGGATTGGCAGTGATCGATTTAGTTAACTAATCGCATTCCATTGTTTGTGATGTCGATTCATGACGTAGTTTGATGGGAAGGCTTGCAGTATCCTGCTGCGATCTATACGATGAAATTGGAACTACAAATCGCCACGTTTGAATGCGTCCTACGACTACGAGAATGCAGTGCGGTAGCGTTTTGTGCGAGGACCTCGCGTAATTCATGACAAGTTCTGAAAAACATATGTGATTCTTGCCGAAGTCTTTGGGGTTCGCATTATTTCAGATTTTGCGTATAGAGTAGAATTTTATTGATCATGTTTATATAGCACTGTTTCAAATTCGCGTTAAATGCGAATTAAATAAATAGATTAAGTAGTACATACATACATACGATGGGGTACCCAAAAGAAACCGAACTAATTTTTTTGTGGGCAGAGCTTTTGTAGTACCGCGTTTTGCCGCTATGAGCGCATAGAGCTAACATTCCTGAGTCGATAAGCCGACTACCGTTGCTTCAGAAGGTAAGGACTAGTTTAGGCAGAGTTTATAGTGACAACTGTTTTGTGTGATCGTCGTTTTTGCAATGGCTGATTTTCGTGAACAGCGTGCGGCGGTGAAATTCTGCTTTTTGCTCGGGAAAAGTGGAACAGGAACTCTTGAAATGTTAAAAACGGCGTACAAGGACGATGCTATGGGGAAAACTCAAGTGTTTGAGTTGTTTTGCCGTTTCAAAAATGGTGAAATGTCAATTGATGACAGACCTCGTTCTGGTCGTCCTTCCACCGCCCGAACACATGAAAATGTTAAAAATTCGTGAAATCATCAAGGAAGATCGACGACGGACCATTGAAGAAATTGTGGAGCTGTTGGGAGTGACTTGGAGCTCAGTTCAGCGAATTTTGACAGAAGATTTGGGAATGAAAAGGGTGGCTGCGAAATTCGTGCCACGACTGCTGACTGCTGAACAAAAACAAGGTCGCGTGGAAGCATGCTGTGCTTTGAAAGAAGAGTCCCGAAATGATCAAAACTTTTTTTCAGCGTTTTGCTGATGTTGCTGAGGTGAAGGAAAAAAAGACGGAGGCGCTGTCAAGCATCTCAAAAGATGAATTTAGACAATGTTTTGAAAAATGGAATAAAAGACTAGACAAGTGTATTAGTGTAAGTGGAGAGTACTTTGAAGGGGATTGAAGGTTTGTGCTTAAAATTTGAATAAATAAGTTTAAAAAAAATAAGTTCGGTTTCTTTTGGGTACCCCCTCGTACATATATATATAGTAGTGTAGATGCGCAGTATATTGTATGTAGTTTACCTCATACAATGTATAACACAGGTGGATCCACTCGGCTTGGACATAAATTTACGCCAAATACGTGATAAATCAGTTGTGGCTAAAACGACCTGACGATGGCACACATGAGTCGAAACATGCCCTAGACAGCAACTCCATCATTTGAAAATAGTGTAGTGTTGATAGGAATACGATGAATATTATCTATAGAGAAACTGAAGGTACCTGGTGTACTCCGTCGCGAGAGATCTCTTAATTAAAGCATTTACAGATTTCCCCGAATTTAGGACTGGGGACAGAAAGATAGAAAGCTGGTTGGGCCCGAAAGCCAGTCTGGGCGCTATGGAGTAAAGGAACATCTCTTGTTTATAATTCTTAATATAGCTCGCTTTGACAAACAGCTGAAACACTATTGAGATTCATACCTTGTGAACACAGAGGCTGTTTGCCTGTTTGGCCGCCAGAACATTTGTTTATAAACATACCCGGAATTTTGCGCCATTTGTAAGTATTTTTAATTACTTTCAACATATCAGTAATATTTATTATAATTCCTTCTTTTTCACATTTTTTACTTTTTCCCAAATTTCCAGGAGGAAATTTCCTCCACACCCCCAGTCGGCACTCATCCTAGTAAAATAGCTTTATTTTTATATAGTCGACTTGTAGGCCACTGCTTTTTTTTTGTGGATGATCTGCATGATAGGGCCGTGTGCTCTTTATGAGACGAAAACGAAATGTTAAGCCACTTTCCTCCCCCCTCCCCATAATTTTATTTCCCCTGGGATAATGTTTTCATATTAAAACTCGACATTACCTTCTACTTGCACGTCCCATGTCGCGGTTTATCAAACTGTGGGGCTGACACTGCGGAGATCGAGGCCTCCTCTCAGCTGAGGGCGAGGGGGGGGGGGTCACTGGGTTCTTAAAAAGTATTTAAAGTGTAGGTAGTAAGTAGGCTTATCCCGCTCAGACACCGATAAACACATATGTGTTGGATTTCTCACTCATTAATGCTAATGACATCAGTAGTTTTAACCATGAGGAGTCGCATGATTTTCTGTATTGTTTTATGGGGTCGTTGCATCACATCGTTTGAGCACCTCTGTAATATATGACGTGTAACAAACTTGCTTAATAGAACAAAACACTGTTGTAGAATATTCATAAATAACCCGTACATATGGCAGCATTACGCCAAATCCGCCCCTAAAATATGGGGATCTCCAACTCCGTGGAAATCTTTATTGAAAATACTGCTTCAGGTTTTGTTAGTGATAGTTCAGTGGTTTCGTGTTATCCATGTTGTATTGTGTTAAATTGAAAAGTTATTGGTGTTCGCCCCTTGTATACATTGAAGACACATTTCTTTTTTTAATTCCCTTAGTGGGGGGTTGGAATCCAACTGGGTCCACTCGGCACGGCGGCCACTGATTGGCCTGTTGTAGCCTTCCCTGGGTGATTATGTTGATGGAGAATTTGGTGGAATGAAGATTGGCAGGGGAAACCGAAGTACTCTGAGAAAACCTGTCCCAGCGCCACTTTGTCCACCACAAATCCCACTTGACCAGACCCGGGATCGAATCCGGGCCGCCGCGGTGGGAAGCCAGCAAATAACGGCTTGAGCTATGGCGCGGCCTTGGAGTAGTTTCACATACTAAAATTTGTTCAAAAGCTGACAACAGCGCAGTTAAAATATTTGGGGGCGAGGGCTTATCAGCTGCATTTTTACGTTAACAGATGCTTATGGAGTTATTGGATTTGTTCATTTTGGCAGCAATGATTGCCGATAGGATGGCAGGTATGGCCGGTTGTTGCTGTTTGTCGTGATGTGTTGAAAGTCTTTATTGCGAAAGTTATATGTATTTAGCAGTTAAACCACATATTTTGCATATAAGAGGTAAAATTATATATAGAAAATGGGTTAATGTCATATATCTACTATACCAAAAGAAGGCGTATAAGGCATTTGTAACCTTCGTTGTTCGTTTCTCTTGAAAGGTCAGGGTCGAATGACCGGTATAACCTCACTAACTGAAGTCTATTTTTCTGGAAATTTTGGGAACTAATTTATTCTATTCAAAAGTGCCTATGTCGCATTAATTGTTATAGAGAAGTGTATATTCTTTTCAGATGGTTTTGGGCGTAGGATGTGTAGGAATGAATGCCTCAGTTGCAGTGAACATGTGGAATCCTAACAATATATTGGACGTCGGAAGGAACTTATCGTTTCGCTTCGGGCTACTTATTCTGAATCAGCCAATAAATATTCAGAGGGATTTCATGCTTTGTTTATGGAACAGAGGTATTTCAGTTTGAACTTGTTTAAATTGTGGTGCTGGTGTTAACAGGCTACAAGTTAGCTAAAAAGTTAGAAGTTCATAACTTGAAAATTCGTCATTTGGTTTAAATCAGTAGTCTTGAATGAATGTATTGAATGCTTTCCATGATTAGTGATAGCCATGGTAGGGATACGTGCTGTTATGACCCAAGTGCATCAGAAATGTAAAAGCAAATTCCAGCCAAGAAGATGCATTTTACAAATATGTACTTTGCTGTTTTGAATACATCATTTGAGCTGATTTTGTTTATTGCAGATATGAATCCTTTATTGCATACTGATCACAACAGCCACATGTAACATCATAGTGCACGTTGTTTCTGATGTTTCATATGCTTCTCATAGAAATTACATTCAACTGGATTATTTACAATTGTAATTTCAATAATTATGTAAGCATGTTTTCCTTTTTTTTTTTTAGCTTCTGTGAGGGTAGCAGTGGATGGTGGCGCAAACTGCTGGTTTCATTTTCTGCAGGGTACAGACTGTGTTGTACCAGAACTTGTGACAGGCGATTTTGATTCCATAAAGCAAAATGTTATTTCATATTTTAGAAGCAAAGGTTCTGAATTTATTGCAACACCAAATCAAGATGAAACTGATTTCACTAAAGCTCTGAGAGAGATTCAGAGCATCATAACAAGCCAGAACTTGCAGGTATGGTCATAACGTGTTTCTGTATGATTTTATTCTATTTATACTTGAAAAACTGGGTGATTATTTTTCAAAATAAAATAATTTTAAGGGTACGCCTTCGCATCTTTATTCTCCTGAACCTGTTTGTGCACAGCACCACTTCATGAAGTCAAAATCTTTCTCTGATAGTAAGAAAAATGAATTATTTATGTCTGAGCACAGTGCCACGATGACACACGGTAAGTGGAGGCACACCTTGACACATTCATAACATCTTCACTGCATGGTGGTGAGTGGGTCAGTTTTGTGCTCTGGCTGCTTTTCTTTTGGGGCAAGATGCCCCATAACAATTGAATGTGACATTGACTGAGATGTGGAGCCAGTATGGACACATGCACTCATTGAGCTGAGCCCTTGTTGAGAAGCTGCCAATTGCCCAGCTACTCAAGAATTTCCCAGCATTTTATGGAACCTGAAAGTTCATTACTGTGTTGACAAGAGCCCTCCACTGGTCCATACCCTGAGCCAGATCAATCCAATCCATCCCATCCTATCTCTCTTAAGATCAATTTTAATATTGTCCACCCACCTACGTCTTGGTGCTCCTAGTGGTCTCTTTCCTTCTGGCTTTCCCACCAGTATCCTATATGCATTCCTCATCTCCCCATTCATGCTATATGTCCTCCCCATCTCACCCTCCTTGACTTGATCCTTCTAATTATACTTGGAGAAGAGTACAAGTTATGAAGCTCCTCATTGTGTAGTTTTCTACAGCCTCCTGCCACTTCAGTATGAACACAGTGGCAAAAAGAAAAATCCCTGGATTCTGAAGGGTTCTGCTGATGGTATATAACAGTAGAATTACTGGGTTTTTGGGCTTTGTCCATCATCCAGTATTCTAAAAAACTACAGAATGCAACATTTTGGAAGCTGGATCTGTTTCCTTCCTCAGGTGAGGGGGGAGACACCTGCTCAGTTGGAACCCTACAGAGTAGGTGTCTCCCCCCTCACCTGGGGGCAGGGACAGATCCAGTTTCTGAAATGTCATGTTCTATAGTTTTTTAGAATACTGGAAGATGGGTGAAGTTCAGAGAGACAAACCCCAGATCATGCCAGAGAACTAGCTCTAGTTGTCCAGCCCACAACATAGTTACAAAATACTGAGCTGTCCTGGCTCACATCATATAAAGTAGGGGATCTTGTGGCCTCAAGATACAGCACTGGACTATCACCCAGGGAGTTCTATGTGTGATCCCAGTCAGATGTTTGTGCAGACCGGTCTGATCACAGATTGAAATTTTCACATGTGCCAAAGATGAAACTTTGTGAATATGAAGAGTACTAGACCCCTACTGTGGTTCAGAACCCATGTGAAACTGTAGGTCCCTTCTGCAAACTGTCATTTGCATGATTATCCTAATGGTGATGTCCTGTGGGAGGTCCCACCTCAGGAATAGATTTTGCAACCTTGTCTGTATGGGCAGAGGTCAGAAATGTGAAGTAGACTGTACTTGGAGGTAGTGGAAACTGTCCAGTGATGAAGTAGCAGGAACTGAGAGAAAACTGAATAGTAAACTTCATAAGTTGTACTCATCATCAAATAGTATTATAGTGAACAAATTGAGGAGGGTGAGAGGGGCACTGCTTGTAGAATGAAGTGGAATGATTTTGCTACAAGAGCTAAAGGAAGCAGATCGCTGGAAACACTTAGGCATAGTTTGGAGGATAATGTAAATATGGATCTTAAAGAAATAAGATGGAAGGGTATGGACTGGATTCCTCTGGCTCAGGACCAGTACCAGGTTCTTGTAAAAGAAAATTATAGTGGACCTTCAGGTTCCATAAAGTGCTGGGAATTCCTTCAGTGGCTGAGAAACCAAACTTCTTAAGGACTCAGCTGTATTTTGTTAGGGCTGTTCCTAGGAGATGGCAGCATAGGGCAGCTGAACAGGGTATTTTGTTTCACTGTCACAGAAAAGTTTCCATTTAATTTGGTAGTTTTAGTAAATTTGCTTCTGTGATCATTCTTCTTCAGAGTCATGTTATCAGCAATGCATATTGGAGCTTGAAATGATTTCAAACTTCCCTCATTGTTCTAATACAAAATGAGTGAATTATCTGAAAGAAATGGCTCTGGCTTCCAGTTTGCAAAGATTTTTACTTTCTTCACCAATGAGCCTTGTTACACATGCATTCCAATTTAATGGATTTGACTGTATTTTGTGAGTTTATTGTTTAAAATTGACATTTGCTATTCATAAAATCAAAATGTGTATCTGTCATGACTGTGTTGTCTGCGGTTTGTTGTATCGATAATATTTCATTCATCATTGTATGTGTTACACATTGTGTGACCAAGCGTGAGAGCCCGAGGGTCGAATGGAAAGCTGCCCACACATGACCATTTACATTCACTGATCATCCAGGCCAGTGAATCGATTGCCCAGATGCTCAGCACTGAATGGTCTGAAATACTGACAACACCACAAGATAAATTATGAATAAGTAAAATTAGCCAATTCTATGTGCTTACAGTAGGTAAAGGTATGGTAAAGCTGTCCTTCTAACAGGCCATGGAGGTCCATAGGGTTCGGAGATGTCGAGGATGCCACATTTTCTATAGACAGCTCATAGATGGCACTAAGGTTGTCAGTCTTACACACCAGCAGCCCTTTACCCCTAGGAAGATTCCTGGTACTCATAGTGCAGCTGGAAGGAGTAGATAAATTGTAAAAATCCACCTCTTAGGGACTCGAACCTGCGGCCTTTTGGCTTGTAGCATAGCACCTCAACCAACTACGATACCACATGCCACCATCTGGGTTACAGTATGTAGGATTTAGGGTTCTCAGTCATTGCTGTGAAAAGTTCTGTCATTTGGGATATAACAGCATGCAGTGTGTTGAAATTCAATCAATGTTTTTGGAGGAACATTTCTCCCCCATCTTGAGGGCCGAAGAAGAAGCCGAGCAAGAAACCAGTCTTAAGCAGCAGACAGGTTCCTCTGAAACATCATTGGACTTTCAGTGGGCACAGTGTTATATCCCAGAAGATAGAGCTCTCCAAGGTGACAGTTTTCGAATGAGCTGGGAGATGTTGAAACATGGTCCGTGTAGTTCATATTTCCCCCTAATGTTCCTACATGGAAGCCTCTGAAAGGAGGCAGTCACAGAATCTAGTTTCACTTGGACTACAAATAGCAGCAAGTTGTACATAGTTGGTTTTATAAGCAAACTACAAGAATTCTATGGAAAAAAACATCCAGTGCTTCAGTGACTCAGAAGAATGCATGTCCAGACCTTTTGTCTTCTCGTCTGCTGTCTAAAAATATAAAAATTAGAATATACATTACTATAATTTTGACTTTGGTTCTGTATGGATGTGAAACTTGGTCTCTGACAGTAAGGGAGGAATATGGACTGAGAGTGTTTGAGAACAGGGTGTTGAGAAGAATATTGGGCAGAAGAGAGATGAAGTGACAGGAGGTTGGAGAAAACTGCATAATGAGGAGCTTCATAACTTGTACTCTTCTCCAAGTATAATTAAAATGATCAAGTCAAAGAGGATGAGATGGGGAGGGCATGTAGTATGAATGGGGGAGAGGAGAAATGTATGTACATATTTATACATATAAATAGAATATTTGTGGGAAAGCTGGAAGGAAGTCCAGGGCTTAGATGGGTGGACAATATTAAAATGCATCTAAGAGAAATAGAATGGGATGGTATGGATTGGATTGATCTGGCTTAGGATAGGGACTGCTGCCAGGCTCTTGTGAACATGGTAATGAACCTTCATGTTCCATAAAATGCTGGAATTTCTTGAGTAGCTGCACAATTGGCAGCTTCTCAAGAAGGGCTGAGCTCCATGACTGAGTGAGTTGCACTTAGGGGACTATAATAGGGTAAGTAATCTGAGCACAGTAACTGGGGCAAATAGTGAGAATGGGTATTAAAGGGTTCAGAGATCTGAGATTCTTTCTTTTGTGTGTCTTTGTGTCTCTTTCTAGCTTACACAACTCCTTCCCTCATAGGGTAAAGAGGATGAGGAGGCTGAGTGGGCCCCAGAGTCAGCCTAGTTGCTTCCAGATGAGTAGAATTGTTTGCCCCTGCCAGAAATTGAACCCCAGTTCCTTGGTTATCTAGCCCATAGCCTAGTCACATTACTGACCAACCTATCCAATCTCCTGCATAAAATCTGTGAAACTTCAAAATATAGAAACAGTTTTAGTGTAATATTTTCTCATTGCTTCTGAACAGCTAGATGGTGTAATTGCAGTATGTGAGACAGCGGGTCGGCTAGACCAGATTCTGTCAAATTTAAATACCTTGTACAAGGCAAAAGACATCTTGGGAAATATTCCAGTGTATCAGTTGGCTAGAGACTCGCTAACATGGCTGCTTAGACCTGGATCACATCAGATAAATGTCGGAGATGAAATTGTGAAGAAACGTGGATGGTGCAGCTTAATTCCTCTTGGTGCAGGAGTTGAACATGTTACTACCACAGGCCTCAAATGGAATCTTAGTAAGTGCATTTATATTTACTTATTTCCTATTTTGCTCATCAGCTTCTGTGCTCACAGCAGATAATATCCTTTGCAATCCTGTGATTAACCTTTAAAGTCCGAAGTGTCCCGATCGGGCGAGTGATGAATACGGTCATTGTGGCCAAAGTACCGCATTTTGGCTAGTTTGGTATTTAAACTCCGCTAGTGGAAGTGAGTGCACATGGCGCTAGTAGAAGCACATGCACAATCCTTAATATTTATTTTTATAAGTAGTAAATACAAGACAGACTTGAGTAAAACCCTAATAGAGGAATTAAAATGATACCTAAGTGAACAACAGCAGAAAAGAGTATACGTATGATTTATGCCCAAACTCATCCACGAGCCAGTACTTTTATTGCAGATTGTGCAGGTTAATGTGTTCAAAATATATAGTAAAATTCGATGTACATACCTTTTTTGTTGTTATCTGCTTGATGTGTATATTGGCAGAAATGAAACTACAGTATTTGATTTCACTATGAACGCACAGAAAACAGATCACACTCTGTATCTCAGCCACAATGCAACTGTCTCTTCACGACCATAGAAAGGGCAATAATCTCTTGCAGCTATAATGGAAGGTCTTAGCACTGAAGAAGGGACCATCAAATAGGGTTACAAAGTGTGAAACCCCGCAACAGTGTAAGCAGATTATTGCGAATAGGGTTATAAAGTGTGAAACCCTGCAACTGTGTTATAAATAATTGTAGCCGATGCTTGTAGGTTGTTAAATAAACCAGTTAACAATCCGAACGGCGTCTTCAGTAACGAAACACGCTACAATATGATATATGTTAAATTTTGCAAATACAAATAAAGAAAGTGAAGTTGTCTGTATGGTTAATTAAGCACTATGCCATGAAAACTGGGGGAGTGGAGATATAGTTTCACTATTCTTGACCTCAGCACTAGATGGAGGTGAGTGGTCAGCTTCATGCCCAGGCCACTTTACCTCCTGGGAAGTTGCCCATGGTGCCTATTGGATAAGAGGCTGGGTGGGCCCCAATGCTGGTCTGGGTACTGTGGGAAAGAGAAAAATCTTGTTGCTACCGAGAATCAAACCCCAGCTGTCCTAGCCCTTAGCTTGTTGCTATCTTGACTGAGCTATCCTGACTCCCATGTTCCTTCATGAACTAAAATTCAGAGGTACCATCTAATGCATCCAGGGTTTTAATCAGTAAGGAAGTGGAAAGCCCCATGCACACAGATACTGGTCTGGTGGAATCTGACATTTTGGAGGCAACATATCACCTCCATCTTCAGAGTTGAAGATAAGGCAAGCAGGAAATCAGCATGGAGGAGACAGGAAATAGAACAAACCATTTGCAGAAAACTCAGGACCCTTGTGGGTTAGGATGGAGCTTGCAAGCCAACAGTTCTGCTGCCACTGACTGTCCCTGAGAAACAGAGTGAACCAGTAGTACACAAGAGAAAAGTAGCCACCACAAAACCTGAAAAGGACCAGTTTGTGGCTTGCAGATGTGGCAACACGAGAGAGAAGCCACAATACATGCGGTATGCAGAGAAGCATGGAGAGTGGGAGAGAAATGGATGCTGAAGATGAAGGCCATATGTTCCTCCAGTCTATGAGGAATTATATTGCAGAAGATAGAACTGTTCATAGTCACCACTGTAAGAACTTTAAATCCTACAGTGTGGATTAAGATTGGGCAATATATTGTTGATTATTTTTATGTGAAGAGCTAACTTCAGAAACTCTCAGTGATTGAGTAGGAAAATATTTTTATTGTCCTCATTCTAAAGATTGAGGCCAGGATAATTCAGTCAGTATAGCAACTAGACTACATGCTGAACAGCCAAGGAGCCTGGGTTCGATTCCTGGCAGGGACAGGAGATTTTTTCTTCTCCATAGAATTTAGACTGGCCTGGAGGCCTACCCAACATCATAGCCAATGGATACTGGGATAAATGTAAAAAAAAAAAAAGAAAAATGGTAAAGCTATCACTCCCTGTAACAGGCCATGAAGACTTACAGGGTTGTGAGATGTCGAGGCTCCCATATTTTCTCTAGACAGTCGGCACACAGATGGTAGTAAGGTTAAAGGGTACTGGGGGCGTTATCCCTGGGGGAAGAGTGGTAAGGGCATGGAGCTGACCACTCACCTCCAACTAGGGCAAGGTGAAGAATGGTGGAGCTATACCTGCACTCCCCCACGCATATTCATGGCATTGTGCTCAATTAATTAAGCACAGGAATGACAAATCATGTGTGATAAGGTCTAAAAGTTTGTGACAGTGGTATATTAAAACAGTTACTGTTTTGAATTGTTTCATTTTGGTCCGTTACACTATCAATCACAAATTGTCAATGAAAAATCCGTCGAGTGTAACAATGTTTTTAGGTCACTTATTTATCTCACTTGCCTTACATGTTTCGGTTCAAGAGAAACCATCATCAGAGGCACGTATTACAAACACATGAAAACACTGGCGCTGCTTAACGTACACAGTATGTAAACTGCGTGGACGCTGTTACAGATGTCGAAGTGTAAAAGCACAACACTTTCTAGTAGCATTGAATGCACGTACAACTCTTGCATTCCATCTGAAAATTGCCCTCAAAAACAGTTACTGTGTTTCTGGACGTGGTCCATCTTCCTGTTTTTATTCAAAACAACATTTTGGAAACCGGATTCTGTCTCCATCTTCAGATGGAACCTATTCACTTGGGCCCAGTCGATATAGCCATCTGAAGATGGAGACAGAATCTAGTCTCTGAAACATAGCATGTTGTGTGTTTTAAATAAAAACAAGATGATGAATTATTTCTAGAAACACAGTAATTGCATGTATGGATTGTTTGTTCTTACAGTCAGGCATTGATTGTGTACATGACTTGTGTTCAAAAATTGTAAGAAGCTTAGCTGGAGTAAAAATATAGGAAAATGAATATGTTAAATTATCACTATAGTTCTGGAAATTTTCTTATATTGTAAAGTGATTGTGTTATGTATATGGGTGTATATGTTGTTACATGTTTGCATTGTTCGTTGCATGGTAACAGCTCAATAAACACATTTTCGCAGCAACAGATATGCATGAAATAATAGAGGAACTGCTGGACGTGGCGTTTTTTATGAGATCCATGCTGAGAGTATGTGTTGAAAGCCAGTAGCAGACAGTCGGGAGCTGAGGGCATGGGTTAGTTTATTTCCATGAGCATGGAAGCAAAGGAATCTCCATTGTTAGGATTCGTTACCAGGCAATGACTGGTGAAGACCTAGAAGACTATATGTGTGCTACAGCACAGTGATTCGTAGAGTGTAGATCCATGAAACTGTTATTACCTGTAGTAATGATTTATATGTGTGCAAGAAATCTAATTACCAGTCCAAATCCAATGTCTAGTAACTAACATGTGACAGTATTGGCTGTAACCTTCATTTTCATTATTTTTTTTTCCATGTACAATAAAATTGATAATGTTAGTTTCTTATAATTACATTTTCCTTTTCCACCACAGACAGCTTGTTGACGTTCTGCCTTGCTGTGGGAAGATCTGAGCTGGAGTATGCTTCTAGTGCTTGGAACTCTATTGCAGTGACACTAGTAATCTTGAGTTCAGTATTGCTCTGGAGTTGTATTTTGGAGGCGTTTGTTTGAAGTATCAGCCAGGACGCTGGATATTCTGAGGCTGTTCATGGTTTTCTCTCATTTTATCCAGGAAAATATTGGAATGATACCTCAAGTAGGCAAAATAGATAACTTAGTTAGTTATCGGAGAGGGTGGGTTTCCCCATGCACTTAGACCAATTGGTCCATTGTGCTTCCCTCTATGATATTCTACCAGTCTCTATACCCTACCGATATTGGTGCGTACCATCAGTCCCGACCGAGCCATTGAGTTCGGCCTCTACTGGCTTGGCGGTATCTATAATGCTTCCCCCATCTATCAGAGGTGTTAGAGACTACTGTTGGGTGGGAAATGTCCTTGAATTTGGCTCAGTGACCTCCTTTGGAGATATGAGGTTCTTTTACGTGCCGTAAAGCTACGACACGGGACCCACAGCTTAAAGTCCCTCCCGGAGGACTTGTTCCATGAATTTTTCCGCCCTTAAAAATTCAACGACCTCCGCCGGGTTTGAACCCGCGTACCACGAGTCATGAGGTGGAAACATTACCTCTAGACTACGGAGGCCGCTAAATTTTCAGTGTGGCTAGTAGGACTTGATGTCATTTTAAAGCCTTTGAACAACTGATGTATGCTTTGCAAAATATTCTTTGAACTTGCTTACTGTTGCAGATAATCGACTGATGGAGTTTGGGGGAACAGTGAGCACTTCAAACACGTACAGTGGTGATCCAGTGATAACAGTCAAGACGAGCGGCTCCTTAGTATGGTGCATGGGCCTTTGTGATGATGAAACTTAGCCTCTTTTTGTGTGGAGATGTATGTGAAGATTGTACTTTCATTTGCAATTTAGGTTGTAAGAAAAAGACTTGCATCAGACCTGCAAAGAGAATGGATTTATCCATGTGAAATTCTTTATGATGCATTACGTATAATACCAAAATGGCAGAAATATCAACATCTTTTTTAAAAGGTAACATTAGAATTATTTTATTAGTTTTAATGAAATTGTTCCATGTTTGATTTCTTCCTTGCAAGATTTGTATCTTCATGCCTTCTGAAGTTGCTTACTGAAATTAATTTTCTGTATACAATGCAAGAGGTTCCTGTCCACAATGTTTCTTCACCCAGAGTATTCAAATTGTCATCATTGTCACCACCACCACCATCATCTTCATAGATTGGGCCACACACGGTCTGTTCTGTCCTCTTGAAGAGTATGCTGATATCATTCCAGTATTCATATTGTTTGGTACCTTAAGGGTATTTTTAACCCATTTAATGTTTCTCTCATGAAAACCCATTTTAATGTTTTCAAATATTGAACTCCTTTAAAAGCAAAATATTGTCACTGTTTACATGTGTTACTAGATAGGCTATTTATTGGCCACTTACACCGCTCAGAAGTACAAGTAATTACAGCACTATCACTAATCAACACACTCTACAAATCACCACGGCACGTGCTAAGCCATTTTCCAGCCCTCTGTGTCTTCATCAGTTCCCTCGCAATGGCTTCTAGCAGTGGAAATTCTTCAGCTTCACATGCTCAGGTTCTGTCTTCACAGCCTCCCATGCAGAACTCAACTGACTACTAATTAACTAACTGCCAGGCTGGTGGCCCTTTCACACCAATCTCCTAGTCTTCTCTTCACAGGCTGACTTTCAACTAACAACTCATTGGGTCACCCCAGTTGTGTGCTAGATAACTCCTCATCATGGACCACATAGAAAACACCCCCGCATCCATTGTTGTAGTCCAGCTGTTGCAGCTATCAAGCAAGGGTTGCATAACATGGTTTCCAACAGCAAATCTAATGTTGTAGAGAAGTGTTTACTGCTTTGGAAGTCTTTGCCTCTCAGTGGGTCTATACACCACAATATCACAATATGTTTCAACCTGCAGGGCGACCTTTACTTAACTCTTGTAGCATAAGTCATTCCATTGTGTAAAGCTTATTTTGGTTATTACCTTTAGCACAGTCTAAACAAACACGGTCAGTTAATCCTTCAAAGATGTGCTAAAATAGCACATGTCTGCCCCTACACGTTGCAAGTCCCTGCTGTTCCAGTATTCTCTCTAGTTCTTCATTTCTTCTTTCCATATTACTGTAAGCCTCAACTTGGTAAATAGTTGTTAATTGATCTAGTCTCACTTTTTAATAATATTACAAAGTTTTGTAGCTTTTGAGGGCTGTAGATGCATGCTGCAATTCACGCATTCCAAAGATGTTTTCACTGCTGTTTCCATGTGAGGTGCACACCTTTCATGATCTACCAGGAAGTTTTTTTTTCCCAATAAGTTGGAACATACCTTGGAAAGTGCTTATGTTTTGTTAAAAAACATACTGCTTAAAAACTAAGTAAACAGTGTTTACCCCCATTTCAAACCCTTAGAAATAAACACTGAAAAAAATAAAAAAAATCTCTGTGCAAATACTTGTAATTACACAAAGATATCAAATTAGTTTCTGTAATTATTAATGACATATGAAATAAGAATTGAGAGAAATATAGCCGAGAATGAAAGAACTTTCAGTGCCAGTAACAGTGTGGCTTCAGTCTCTGTTCATTATGTGACGTCAGTCACCAAAGATTGTAGTTGCACAGTAACAGTTTAATGAGTATATCGTCACATGTGTGAGTGACTATAGATGGGATTTGAATTGGTGGCTCAGTTTGTTGACCACTTACCCACATAACGTGTAACTACATGCAACTATAATAGCCCTACTGGTATACACACTCTATAGATCACACATAGTTTTCTGTGTCTTCACTAGTCGTTTCCTGGTAATGGATCTTGACACTACCCTCATCTTATGTCCTTACCCTCTGGAAAATATCCCATAACTGAACTAAGCTCTGAACTTCATTCCACTTACAACCTCTTGTAATGGACTGCACAGAAAACACCATGCCTCTGTGTTATACCATCGATGCATTCATGTCTGCTGGGGTACCCACATGATCACTACCCAGGCAATCCATTGGCACGCTGGCCACTGCCTATTAACGGCTGTTGTCTCATTATTATTATTATTATTTGGAGGGGGTGGGTTTCCCCATGCACTGCGACCATTTGTTGATCTATTGTGCGTCCCCCTTTAATTATTCTAACTAGTCGCCATGCCCTTCCAGTACTGGTGCTTGCTATGAGCGCCGTTCTGCCAGCGAGGTCGGCCCTCTCTGGCAGTGGTCCCCGATACTTCCCCATCTACCGGAGGAATTGGAAACTGCTTGGGCGGGAAACTTGCCTAATTTTGCTCAGAGGTCTCCTAGAGACACGAGGATCTTTTATGTGCCATAAATCTATGACACGGGACACACAGCTTAAAGATAGAGCCCCCACCCCACCAGCTGGGGAACAGGTGTTCTCTTATTTATTACTCAAAAAAAAAAAGACATAAACGAGAAAATCAAATAACATTTAATATATGACCAGTAATTTGTGCCAAAACAAAACACGACAATTAATCGGCATAACCAGCCACAAGATATCCTATCACAACTCGCACAGGCTGTCTCCGCCACAACACCACATATAAGGCATACTTTACAATAAACTTCATGCTAGCATAATACCATCTCTGTAATCCCCTGCAGACACAGTACAGACAAAACCTATATATACATTCTCAACTTACACAATTCCTCCAAGAACAATAATCAGTATGCTAGTATTATGTGCATTACCTCGAGATGGGCCCTCCTGCCTGGAGTTTAACTACCAAACCGAATCTTTCATGGCGCCGACCCAAACAGAATTTAGTTACGGAGTGAGACGTCCGTACACGACGACTTTCCAAGCAGAAGAGACCGGGTGCCTCAGCCGAATCACAAAGGGTAGAGGAGTGATGACGTAGAATACGCCACGGAATAAGGATAGGTAGTAGGAAAAGTAGGGAAAAACGGTGTGACCCGCGGCCGCCGCCGCTCGGAGAGGGCACTACACCCAATGAGCCGAAGGGATCGGCTCAGGATCGCCCCCTTCCTCTCAGAAGAAACTTGGCACTCAAGGAGGGCTGCTGGCAAGCATCGACTGGGGATACACGAAGGGCTCTCGATATTATCATATATACTGTCGCGTACTGGGCGTATATCGCGACAAATAAATTCTCGATGTATTCGATGCAGCGAATTTTATTTCACACTCGCTCTTACAATCACCCAAATTACAATCTGACGATTACTGCTATCTGCAGTATCACAAACAGTACACTCCAAATGCCACAATACAACTGACTGGTTGCTGGCTAACTCGACAATAGGTCCAGGATTCGCTGACTGACTCAGTACAACTCTGCGGTAGCCACACTAGAACTGACTGGTAGCTGCTGGACTCGCTGACTCTCTCAGTACAACTCAGTACAACTGACTGTGAATAGCCTTCGCTGCGCCTCATGTAGCCTCGATCGGACCATATGGAAAACGGCCGCGTAATAGGCACCCTCTTTGCCTGGCGCTGTGTTGCTATGTAACGCTAGCGGAGGTAACCGCTGTTACTATCGTAACGTCACCGCTGTTGACTCGCGTTGCCTAGCGACCGCGATATCCCTCGGTGACGTCACCACGGAGGGGAGTGGCAGGGCGGGAACTCGCCTATTACGCGAGCGTTACGTTACCGCTGGGGAGGTAGGGGTCAACATGTCACAATACGAAGGAGGCGGCTAAAACGACAATTCAGTCCAAGTCCTTGCCTCCGCCACAGCACCACAACTCAACGGAAGCAGAACACTAGGGCGCAAGAGACGGCAACACAACCCTGTCCAAATCCCTGCTAACACTCCTTCTCCGCTCCCGGAGCACCGGCACCAACACTACCCCGACACAGCACAACACAGTCCGCAGGGGTCCATAACTCAGGAGGCCCTTCCTTGCGATCCTACTCTTGCCAGGTAGATGAAAGAGTAAGCCCCTCCGACCTCCCGGGCCCTGGGTGCGATGGAGGCGTCCAGTCGCAGGCTTCGATGTTGAAGAGGCAGGCGGCAACCAAAGGAAGGAATAAATGGAAGAAGGTAAATCGGCTAGAAGCCCCTAAAAAGAAATTAAGAACACAAGGCAAAAACCAGTATTGAACTTTGGGTAGAACCCCTCACAATACAAAATAATACCTAACAGCGTGATAATCATACTTGGGGCTAATAAGTTAGTCCCGAACAAAATATTTCTTCAGCTGAGAAACATGAGCCCTATGTAAGATAACTCCAGTGTCTGGATTTGCCAACTGAACAGTGACATTAGTGAAGTACTTAGCAATAACCACGGGATCTGACCATCTCATATCAATCTTAGCGGACCTTTTCTGCACCTTGGAGCTCTATGGATGGAGACGTACCAAGACCAGGTCTCCCGCCTGAAACGCCGCCTCCCTTCTCAGTATGTTATAGTACCGGGTAACCCTATCCCTAGCCTTCCTCAAATTTTGCAAGGCTGTCCCCCAATATACCCGCATATCTGCAGAGGGTCGCTGTAAGTCAGGCTCCGAGAACTCCCAACATAACCCCAATGGATGGTTAAGTTCACGACCAAGGAAAAGCACGGCGGGTTGGGTTCTTGTACTCTCATGCCAGGCTGAATTAAACGCCATGGCCAGCATTGGGAGATTCTCATCCCACAAGGTATGTTGAGAGTGGTGGTAGACAGTAAGGGCTACCTTCAAATTACGATTAAACCGCTCCACCTGAGAGGCTTGGGGATAATAGGGGAGGTGGTAACGTGTTTAATCCCCCAAGAAAACAGGCGTTATAAAACCAGCGACACTTAAACACAGCGGCATTGTCCAAAACGATGGTCTGGGGAAGACCAAAACAGGAGAAATACCCCTCCATCAGGCCTTGACAACTGCTTCAGAACAGATCCTTCTGACCGGGTACATGGCCACAAATTTGGAGAAACCATCTAACACAACCAAGATGGCTACATTCCCCTGCCGACTCTGGACTATCGGCCCCATGAAATCGACGAAGATACGCTCCGTGGGTTTGGTGACAACTTCGCTGTGATGAAGACCCACCTGGGCATTTTGGGCAGGTTTCGCCTTCTGGCAAGGCTGACAACCGCGCACATATTTCAAAACGTCCGATCTAATGCCCGGCCAGTAAAACACCTGAGATATTCAAAGGAGAGTTTTGGCGACACCCAAATGCACCCCTAGGGCCAAATCATGGAAATACTCCAGGACCATAGGGCTAAGGTCTTGAGGGACCAAATACCTCTTAGTCCTGGCTCTCGATGGGGAATAAATGATGGCGTACTTCAGCAGCTTTTAGTTTCGAACCTCAGGGTCTTGGTGTTTAATTTTATCGTAAATCTCTCTGCAGCAGGAGTCTTTAATCTGATGTTCTCTTATGGATAAGAATGCAGCGGGCAAATGTTGAAGCACCAGCCCCGAAAATAGCTGGTCGGAGGTAGACTTCTCAAATTGGCATGTCAAACAGTCCGCTACGACATTAGCCTTTCCACTAACATGGACTATTGTAAATTTGAAAGACGCCAAGCGCAGTATCCACCTACCTAAGCGACCAAGTTCCCTGACCTGCTTCAGCAGCCATGACAGGGCTTGGTTGTCCGTATGGAGGACAAACTGCTTATGCTCCAAATACACCCTAAATCTCTCGCATCCCCAAACAGCTGCGAGACATTCCTTTTCATAGGTCAAATATTTACGTTTCGTTCCCGAAAGCAAACGGCCCGCAAATGCTATGGGGGCCAATCCAGACTCGCACCGCTGATTGAGGATGGCAGACTCAGCCAGATCGCTCGCATCGCAAACTAGGACGAATTCTTTCGAGAAGTCTGGCACCTGCAACACCGGTGATGTAGAAATGGCATCTTTAAGTGCCTTGAAGGCACGCCTCTGGGAGTCCCCCCATACGAACTGAGCATCCTTACACTTCAATGCATGAAGCGGCTTGGCCAACAAGGAAAAATCCTTCACAAAATTTCCGTAAAACCCGACCATACCCAGGAATCTCCAGACGGCCTTCAAATTTTTAGGAGGAGGAAACTCACGAAGGGCGTCTAGCCTCTCGGGTAAGACCTCAGCTCTGGCATCAGACAAGGAATGACCCAGGAATTTAATTTTTGATTTCACCAACTGCATTTTGTCCTGGTTTAGGGTAAAGCCAGCCGTCTCCAAATGGCGAAAAACTTCCTTAAGGTGGACCAAGTGGTGTTCTACGGTGCGCGAGTACACAAGCAAGTCGTCCATGAAATTATAAACATAATGATGCTTGAGGTCTCCAAATAAGGACTCCACCACACGGGAGAGAATCTGACATCCCACACTAATGCCCATAGGGTGTTTAGTAAACTCAAACAGACCAAATGGAGTGGAAAAGGCCGTTACTTTACGACTCTTCGCCGAGAGTGGGATCTGGTAATAGGCCGAGTTTAGATCTAAGATAGAAAAAACCTCAGCCCCTTGAAAATTGGAGAATGCAAGTTCAATACTCGGCATTGGAAAGGCATCGAACCTAACCTTCTTATTCAGGAGGTGATAATCCACCACCATGCCGTAGCCCCCTGAAGATTTAGGAACTAGGAAGGCCGGGCTGGCATACTGTGAGGTACTTTTACACACAACCCCCTTCTGAAGCAAATCATTCACAATGTCCCTCAGTGCCTTAAGCCGGGGAGGAGAACACTGGTATGGGCGGGAATGAACCGGCCGATCGTCCAACAGATCCAACTCGCAGACCATACCCTTGACCGTTCCCAACCGTCCCGAAAACAAGTTAAGGAAACTCTTCACA